CTTGAACTCAGCAATGAAATGATTGACCATTCGATTGTCAAAATCTTCTCCACCTAAGTGGGTGTCTCCAGCTGTAGATTTCACTTCAAAGATTCCGTCTTCAATAGTGAGGATTGACACATCAAAAGCGCCACCTCCTAAGTCAAAAATTAGCACATTTCTTTCAGCTCCAACCCTTTTGTCTAAGCCATAAGCAATAGCAGCAGCTATTGGTTCGTTGATAATTCTAAGTACATTAAGACCAGCAATAGTTCCAGCATCTTTGGTTGCCTGACGCAGAGAGTCATTGAAGTAAGCTGGCACAGTGACGGCAGCATTGGTAACAGTCTTGCCTAGATAAGCTTCTGCAATCTCCTTCATCTCTGTCAGCACCACAGAAGACACCTCCTCTGGGTAGAAGCTCTTTGTCTCTCCTTTGTATTCTACTTGAACCTTGGGCCCACCTGCATCATTCACCACCATGAAGGGCCAGTGCTTCATATCAGACTGAACAGCAGCATCATCAAATCTACGTCCAGTCAGACGTTTAGCATCAAAAACTGTGTTGGTGGGGTTCATAGCCACTTGATTTTTTGCGGCATCTCCAATCAGTCGCTCGGTGTCAGTGAAAGCGACATAGCTTGGCGTGGTTCGGTTTCCCTGATCATTAGCAGTTATCTCCACCTTTCCGTGCTGGAAGCCACCCACACGGGAGTAGGTGGTGCCAAGATCAATGCCAACTGCAGGTCCTTTCCACATGGTTGCTCGCGTAAAGGCCTGGCTGTGCTAGCGAAGACGGCACACAAGGAGCCCCTCACCTACCGGCGCGTTCAATGAGCGGAAGGAAAGGTTTATGTAGCTCACAGTTGTGGAGGCTTCAGTTCATACTCCGCAGGCTCCAAGGCAAAGGGCAGCAGTTCATGCGGCCCAAAACAAGGAAGAGCAGCGGAGGAGCAGCTGCGGCGGCGTCCATCGAGCCTCTCTCCTCCTTAGCTCCCTGGAGATTGGGACTTCTCCAAGGAGGCAGGACAGGGCAGGGCAGGAAGCCTTCCTCCATTCCTTTAACATACTTTTGTGCTGAGCCACTCTGGGGCGGCCCATGGCCCTAGGGTGGAACCAATCGCACTCCAGTGCCGGCCCAATAGCGCCCCTGGGTGGGCCCTGCCCGCCTGCAACCCAAGTTGACAGTGTATCAACTAGCACACACTGGTAGCTGCAGAGTGGTAGTAATTTCTTCAGTTTTGCCTCAGCCCTAAAATAACAGTTGGTGGGCTGGGGAGGTAGCTCAGCGGTCTAGGTACCTGCCTGGAAAGCACAAGGACTGGGTTCGATCCCCGTTGCCTCATGCCATGCTGGGCCTGCGTGGAGCCAGCCACTGAGACTGGGCATGGTGGCACACGCCTGTCATCCCAGCACTGGGGAGGCTGAGACAGGAGGCTCACTATGAGTCCAAGCTGTGTAGCAAGACCCTGTACCAAATACATAAATAACAGATGGCTTTTTTCCCCTTAGATGTTCTTTTGGCAGATGAAAAGTTTGACTTCGATCTGTCACTGTCTTCCTCAAGGTAAGCAAATGAGTTTTGTTCCTGGGCCTTGGGCACCACGCACTCACTAACGTCTTTTGTTAAAGGCCAGAGTGCTTGCCATTGGTAATCTTTTTCTTTAAAAACAGCGCAAATGAAGATGATGAGGTCTTTTTCGGACCTGTTGGACATAAAGAACGATGCATTGCTGCCAGCCTAGAGCTCAGTGACCGGCTTGCCACACCGCCTGCCTCCATCTGCGCCTGGAGCCCACTCACTGGGGAGAAGTTCGTGGAAGTGTACAGGGAGGCGCACCTGCTGGCCCTGCAGATTGAGAGTCAGAGCAGGACCCAGGCAGCCCCGGCAGCCCAGCCTGTGCAGCCCTGGGGCCAGGGTGTGGAAAGTTTTGTCCAGGAATCAAAGCTAAAAGTGAGCCTCTTTGAGAAAGAACAGGAAACTGAGAAAAGCCCTAAGTCACTTAAAAGAGAAACGTACTGCCTGTCAGACAGCCCCTTGGTGGGGATGCCGCTCTCGGGAGGCCAGCCTGCCTCAGCTGAGCCCCTGCTTCCGGCCCAGGCTCCAGCCAGCCCTGGCCCCAGGGGCCCTGGCCCAGTGCAGAGGCTGCAACCGTTGGCTCAGGCTCTGCCCAGGGACCCACGGGTTGCCTACCCCCCGGGTCAGGCGGGGCCTCAGAAGAGGGCGCTGAGCAAGCTGCCTCCACCCCGAGCCTTCGCTGCAAGAGCACAACACCCTCACCTGGCCAGCAAGGTAGGACCACAGGAAGAACGCTTCCTGGGGACCCGGACGCTTGCTTCAGGGACCATAGGGAGAGACCTGGAGATGGGGCTAGGTTTTGCCCCAGGACTGTGTGAACACCTGGCACCCTCCACTGGAGAGGGTCCCTCTTGGGGACAGCCACGCCTCGTCTCCCCAGTGTGACATGAGGTCGAGCTGTCTTGGGAAGTGGCAGTTAACAGGTGTGTCACTGGGGTACAGTTAGCTGTCTGTGGGAGATGGGGTCCTAGAGGCAGGTGGGCAAGAGGAGGGCGCTTGTGAGGCCCAGACTCCACTCATTCCAGGTTTGTCCCTTGGGGTGCTTGCCAAGGAGTGGGGAGGCTGCCACGTGGCTGACAAGGGACCCACCTGGGACCCTTGCCTGGGCAGAACACTGTTCAAGGACTGGCTCTGGGGTGTCACACCCAGCAAAGGCCTAGGCACTCCTGCCCCGCTGCAGACTCCTCCCCCCTGCCCCAGCTGTGCTCAGAGCCCAGGTTGCTCACGCTCGGGTCCCAGCAGCAGCACACGTGGACTGCAGGTGGGATCTGCGTCCACTCACAGACGGGCAGCATTTGCAGGCGCAGCGCTCGTGGGCGTGGCAGGATTGCGTGGAGCTCATGTGGAGCATGGGCGGGGCATGTGTTCACAGCAGTGTTAGGCCAGAACCTGCAGCCGCCCAGGAGGCCACTGATGGATCAGTGACCAGTGGCCTGTGGCACATGCAGACCACACAGCCCTGCAGTGCCAGCTTATGCTGTGATAGAAGCCAACACGGGAGGTCAGGTATTCACGAGTGATCACTGGTTCCCTTCCATGACGTGGCCACACCAGGCAAAGTGGAGAGAAAGCAAGCAGCTGGGTGGCTGCCAGCGTGGCGGGAGGCACAGAGGGGCCAGGAGAGGCTGC